TCTGGCCAGTAACACTTGGACGTTTTCATTGTTGCTAGGTAACCAGGGGTCTTTTATTCACTGCTGAAGTCAAATTCTTAAATTGGTTTGAGCTTTTTGTTGTTGTTTGTTTTATCGTGGTTTTTAACTGTTTTTGGTTTGAGTTTATAACCATTGCTGATGCTTGGAGTGCTAGGAAGCAGGTCTCCAGGTGAATGTGATTTTACTGTACCATCTCAGGTTTGCATTGGGTGGTGACCATATAAAATGAAATTTAGAGTTAATTTAAGGCTTCAACACAAAGAACCACTACTCTGTGGAAACAAAACTGTATCCATACAAATGCTTTGGAAAACTCCTTGATTTAATTGGATGATACCAATTCTGTTATAGAATCCCAAAGAAAATTCTAATTCCCTAAGAGATAGAAGGCTTACCCCAGAGGCCAATGCTGCAGAATTAGCTGGTGAGCCTTCATAGACTCAAAGACATTTGACTTTAAGAACTTTAAGTTTATAGCACAGGTAAAACGAGAAAGGAAGAAATAAAGACTTTATAGCATTGAGGAGAAGAAAGTTAGGATGAAGACTTATTTGTGTAAACAAACAGGCTCCTGAAGAAATTGATGTAAGTCCTTGGGTCTCACATCTGCCAAACTAATGTGTCTCCTCCAAACTTAGAGAAACCCAGAGGGCATGAGAGAATTATCTCGTTCAAGTTGTGATTCCAAGTGAGGCAGAAAGCAAGCTGAATATAATGCATCTGTGAGTAGAAAGTTTAAGCCATATTAGATACAGAATCTTCTGATGATCGCCAAAGGAGGCGGCCTGACTCCATGGTGCAGGGAGCTACTCTTTTATGTTACCTGTCCCTCCTGTTGGGAGGTGGGGTGGGCGTCCATGCATAGCGTGTGGAATTATAATCATGCCAGTTCTCCATCTCTGGACTGGTGATTTTTTGGGTAGACATCCAAAGCCATAGGAAAAATGTAGAGCCACAAAACAAAGAAAACATCCAGGACAAGGGCAGGATTATGATCCTCAGTCTCCTCCTGCAGTAGAGGAGGCCTTTTGATCCCCTCCTCAGGTATATACCTGAACCAGGTGGACTAAAAGAACTAGAAGCTATAAAAAGCCCCCTCCTGAGAAGTTCCCTGAAATGGTTAGTAGCTGATTGTCACACTAAGGAAATAATAAAAACCATGTTTCAAGTAGATATTGACTCACCTTAGTCATCTGTGAAGACAGGAATATGGCTGTTCTATCTTGGGGGATGAGGCAGGAGATGAACATGTAAGTCTTATCAGATGCACAGAGCACAGTTAAGAGTGGACACCACACTGTAAGTCACATTGTAGCAATTCCTTATCTTTGGGGGAGATTCTTGTTGGCAGGGGGTAGTTATGGTGGTAGATCTCTTTCCTAAGCCCATTTGCCAGAAAATTTAAAAGAGACGGCGTGCTTTGTGGAGGACAGATGGTGATCACAGCAGAATGCCCAGGAAAAGCAAGTTTCCACTCATATGAAAACTTTAAAAAGTTTAAGCAGAAAAAAATGACATTTCTTTTAAATTATATTTTTAACTTTAAAAATAAAAGAAGTTTCATGAATTTTTCCCTTTGAATTGAGAAACCCTTCAGCCATTCTCCAAAGATTGGTTAATGAAGTATGTGGACCAGGATATTTTCCATATCACTAAATTTAGCCATGAATATTTGCCTAAAGTGTTGGAGGATATCTGAATCAATTCCAGTTGTGTCAGGTCAGTTCCTAGAGTCAGGCCTATCTTTAATCTTAGTAAATGCTCATTTGAATTTAAAGAGGCCGAATCATTGGAGAACAAATGGAATTTAGGCACATAACCAACACTTTTGAGATAAAGAAGAAGCCATTAAAGATTGGAAAGTGCCTACAATGCAAGGAACCAGTCATTTGGGTAGTTAAACAATAAAAATAAAATAAAACTGCTGAGGGGAGAAATCTGTTTTCTAGTTTAGATGGTTATTTGGCTATTGTTTGGACTTTGGATAAATTCAGGCTTATTGGTTAAAAATTTACTTTATAGGCCAGCTGGCAAAGCTTGAATTAAATGCTGCAGGCACAGCTCTGGAAGCTTAGTACTTCAGATCTTTAAGCATTATTCTGGAATAAAGGCCAGTAAAAATAGGAATTCTATTCTTCCTCTGGACCAACTCACACTAAGTGAACATAATGTTCATAATTTCTGTCGAGACAGTAATTCCTATTTGGAAGAACTCATTGTGCTGGTCATGTTCAGAGGTTTGATAAAATTAAGTTCATTGCTAGGTAATTGGTGCTGATCACATCTAAGGCATGGATGGAAATGGCAGCATTGGGACTGGAAGGAGGGGAGACTGAATAAACATGGAAGTATCCCCTATCCTCAGTTCACTTATTGGAAAGAAAAGGATCATGAAGCTGAAGAACCCTTCTTACCCTCTTTCGAGTTAGAAGAAGCCATGTGGATTGTGGGGAGATGGGGTTTATGAAAGTTATTTTAGGTAAATAAGATGGGTTGTCGTCCACTGAAATTAGCCTCTACCATCACTTCAGATAAGGTGTTGAGAAGAGGTTGGTAAGTGAAAATTGAAGGAGAGTTTTAAGGTGGACGCTGTAGGTTTGGGATATGGAGAACTGCCACGTCTAGATCTAAAATTACATTCATGTGCTGAATAATGATGTCTCAGTCAACAATGGACTGCATGTACGATGGTGGTCCCATAAGATTATAATGGAGCTATATAATGGAGTAGGCTATACTATATAGGTTTGTGTAGGTACACTCTATGATGTTTGCACAGTGACGAAATCACCTAATGATGCATGATGTGTTTCTCAGACTGTATCCCCATATTAAGGGACGCCTGACTGTCCATTAATGGGATTCTATATGACAAGTCAGTCACTCACATAGAATTCTGTTTTCTTTTTCCATTTGCTCCAAAAGTGTGTTTTTCAAACTTTCTGTGGATACCCAATCTGTGTTCTTGTATCTTATTAAGTATCTTGAAGCACATTGAAGATTGACAATTTAAGATTCCAAACATGGGTCCCTAGAGAAGTGGACTAACCATCAAGAGAAGATGAGGAGTGCTCCAAATATTCGTGTTGCTGTGGCTTAAAATTAGATACATAGCTTGTGACAGTCATAGAAGGTGCCATCCAGAGGGTCTCAGGGTGCTGGCAGGAGCCTACCACTAGCGATGGAGATGCCTGCAGCTGTGAGGCATATACTAATCTCCTCTACTTTGAGTGGTGCTTTAGGCTTTTCAGGCATGGAACTTTTCCTCAGTCCTCAAAACTTAAGCACATGTTGGCAGAAGAATGAAGAGAAAAACCTAATGTTTTGTACTTACATTGATATCATTCATTTCTTGTGTATCATCTGGAGTATGTAGTTAGACCAAGAAGAATCTATTTTAATACCTAGTTGATTAGTCTTTTGACTAATTAAAGCTCTTCTCTGGTAACAAAACAACACCTTCTTTCTTTGTACATACATTTTTCTTCTCTCTTCCATTGTATGGAGAGTGAAGTAAATGAAGTCAGTATTCTTTACTAATAAGCCACCCACCCAGCATACTTTAATATTGTGTTATTCTGGGTAGGGGGGCTTCCTGTAAGCTTGTATGACTATACTAGTACAGTGGTCCCCAGCTTTTTTGGTACCAGAGACTGGTTTCGTGGAAGACAATCTTTCCACAGATCCGGGGGTGGTTGGGGGTGGGGGTGGGGATGTGGCGCTCAGGCGGTGATGTGTGGCCCATTTCCTAACAGGCCACTGACTGGTACTGGGCTGTGGCTCAGGAGTTGGGGACCACAGGTTTCGTGGATCCTCCTAAGGGCTTAAATTGTAGCTAAGGAGCAGCTGAGTGGGAGCTGATGAAATAGGAACATTTCAGAAGGCAGGAAATATTAACTGCAATCTAATCTAGTATAGGGTTTGAGAAACTGCTTTTGTAAAGGGTCAGATAGTAAGCGTTTTAGAGCTGTGTGACTGTCACACACAGTCTATCACAATCACTCAACTCTGCCACTACAGTGCAAAAGTAGCCAGCCGTAGATAATACATAAACAAATGAGCATGACTATGTTCCAGTAAAACTTTATGTACGCTGAATTCCATTTAGTTTTCACAAGTCATGAAATAATTCTTCTTTCAATTTTTTAGCCATTTGAAAATACAAGAATCATTCTTAGCTCGCGGGCCGTGAGTTGCACTGGGTTGTGGGATGTAGTTTGCTGACCCCTGGTCTAGTAGTAGAAAGGCTTAGAACTTGGAAAAATTGGTGCTGTACATGTTTCTTTTCTCTTTCTTCCCTTATATAAAAAGATGCCATCAAGCCATGCCTCTCAGGAACAGTATGCAAACAAAATTAGAGAAGGGATGCATACAAATGCCTGGTATTTTTAACACTTGTTCATTGGAGTGACAACACTTTAAGCTAACTTCCTGCTGTCGTTGTTTTAAAACTGTACTGTACTCTCAATCATCTTTCTCTAAATAATGGAAGGCTGAGGGTTTTCTCAGGATATTGCAGGAAGAAGAGAGATGGCACTCCTATTTTGTCTAAATATTTCCTGGTTTTCTCTCCTGGTTTATTCCTTAAAGTTCTGATACCTTTTCACAACTTATTTTCACCTTTTATTCAGTCAATTTAGTAAGCTATTGCTTTGGATTTGGCAGAGAAAACTAAACGAGAAGTACACTTTACAGAAAATAGCACTCATGATTTCCTAGGGCAGCTGGAGTCTAGATGCCACACAAGTGAAATTAATACTGTTTTATTTTCCTCTTTATTTCTGAATTGTGGCTCATGTTATTTGCAGGTGAAGGCAGTACATTAAAGTCTTAGTAATTAAGAAGAGTAAATTGTACACTTGTGTTTCCTTGATTAGTTTGAAAACAGTGTTACTCTCAAATTGAAAATGCATTAATGTGTTTTCAGGTTGTTGATAGCCACTGAAATATCTGTTATTTACTCTATTTAAAAATTTCAGGTGGAAAAGCCTGGCAGTGGTGGCCAAGATTTACTTCTTTATCCAGCTAAGAGAAAGCAGCTTCTGAGAAGTGAACTGAACACTGAAAAAGGACCTCCATCCCCGCTACCTGCTCTCAAGCAAACATCACCATCAAAAGGGTGTTCAACAGTTATACCAGGAGACTTTAAAGAGAAAGTGGCAGAGCTGCTGGTGAAATACTCAAGTGGCCTTTGGGCCAGTGCACTCCCAAAAGCATTTGAGGACATGTACAAAGTGAAAATCCCCAAGGATGCCTTAAAAAATCTTGCCTCACTTTCTGATGTGTGCACCATAGACTACATTTCTGGAAATCCCCAGAAGGCCATTCTCTATGCTAAACTTCCATTGCCCACTGACAAAGTCCTAAAGAATGAAGGGAAAGCATGTGGTGATGGTGATATCAAGGCTATGATTCAACAAGAATATTTGCAATTAGAAGAAAATATGGCTGAAAATGCCGATACCTTTATGGAGGACATAACAGTTCCTCCTTTGATCATTCCGACCGAGGCATCCCCATCTGTGTTGGTGGTTGAGCTGAGCAACACAAATGAAGTGGTTATTAGGCAAGTTTCATTTTCTGATTCTTTAGGATCCTGGTGTACTGTTTTCACTTCACTATTCTTCATTGGATGCTAACAGTTGAAAGAAGAATAATATATTCTTAGTTCTAGCATGATTGTGAAGTATATATTCTTAATATTTGTTAAATGTTAAAACACAGTTTGTTAAAATATACGGTTATTCTTGTGAGAAGAAATTACTAACAACTTTAAAAATTGGAATGATAATATGAACTTGAAAAAAATTTATGTCAAAAGCATGCTGGTAGCTATATATGTCAAAAGCTATACCTAGTTCATTAAAAAAAAAAGTCCCCCACATAGTAGATAATACTATTTAATCTAGGACTATGTAGCATTTCCTAAAAGTCAAAATAGCTAAAAACTGCCTTCTTCATATAACACATCAGATTAGACCTTGGACCCAAAGGTACTCTGGTCCCTTGAGCCTTTCAGTATCATTGCCTGGAAGAAGGGGAGTCATTGCCTAACTAGCTAATGGTAACTGGAATTCAAACAATAGTCCGATTCTAGGCACCTGACTTGGACTTTTGGAGAATATACAGAATACATAGAAAATATAGAAAGACTAAAATTTGCGGTTTCCAACTCAGGAAAAGAATGGGAACCTGTGTAGTAGAACCTCTGGAGGCACCAGGCCTGGATGTGGCTGTGGCTGTACAGATCAGAAAAAGGCTGAAGCAGAACAGAATCCAGGCTCCTTCAACCAAAATGGCCGTATTGTTTGGGCTATCACTACTCCAGAGACCCATAACTGAGCTGGAAAGGCCCAAAGAAAGACCACATAAAATAATTAACATCTTTCAGAGTTCAAAAATATGAAAGCTGTTCCGTTTGAGCAAACTAAGTCTGAGTAGATAATAGAGTGAACCTAGTATCTTCAGATGCTCAAATTATAAGAACCTATGGAAGCTTTTAGAGAGGTCCTGTTTTATATATGGGTCGTGCATGTATAAAGCTTTTATTCTAAGATGTGGTGTGGCCTGAAGATATAAATAGGTTGCTGATAAGGGATAGGGATCCCTTATGGTTCACTAATATATTGAAGGAAAGGAAAGATGTAGAGGGGTACATTTGTAACTTTTACCATTTAACATTGTAAGAAAACCTAAATCTACGTCCATGGCAGGATCCTTTGGTATCTGTTCCCAATGTTCATTGGTTCCTTTGAAGGAGACCAAGTGCCCAGCACTGGAATGGATCAATCATTATTTCTGATGCTCTTACCAAGGGTTGGCAGGAATCTGGATCAGTTCTAGGAATTTAGTATGAGTGTTCTAATCTATTCCAGGATGATTAGTTCCAGGGTCTTCAGATTATTTAACCCCTTTTTTCTGGTGTGAATTTGAATCCTGGTGTCAGCATTCTACATGTTCAGCAGGGTGGCTGACAACCAGCAAGCATATTGGGTAATGTCTGCCATTAGGTTGACCCTAGGGCATTGGCTCCTACCCCACCCAAGGCTTGGCAGACCCTGAGCCATGTTGTGTACCCACATCTTCACCCAGGCAAGCAGTAGGCACCAGAAGCTGGGTCTGTGGCTGATAAAGGGCCTGGAGGGGTGCTGTGGCAGAACCCTCCTGTCAAATATGGGAATTCATTGTCTCTTTTCTCAAAAATTAACTTTGTGAAACTTTGTATGTATGACATCCCTAAATTGGCCTATGCATCATTCTTTGCCTCTTTGCTAAGGTAATTTGGGAACAATGTATGATGACCTCTTCCCTGCCACTACCTACTCTCATACTAACTGTAACATCACTGCCCTCACCCAAGCTGGGCAGCCATCCTTCTCTGTTGGCTGCTGTAGAGTACAGGAGCTTCCTGCAGATTCCAGGCCACTTCTCATCACCTTCCCCACCCTGGCAGGAACCTGTGCTCAGCAGGCCACCACGTCACTGTCACCGGCTGCAGCCCAGGCCTCTGCCAGTTGAGTGTCTAGGGCTATAGCAATGCCACAGGGTGGCTTCTGAGATTCTAGGTCCTAAAAAATGAGCACTTTAGCAGAGTTGTAGAGTGCAGCAGAATCCTAGGCAGTGCCTTAACATTTGCAAAGCTCAATAAATTTAAATGATCAACCCTCACTGCTCTGGCCTCCAGACCTCGCTTGGTGTCTCCATTTTCCACTTCTCTTCCTCCCTTTCCCTTCCCTTCCCTTCCCTTCCCTTCCCTTCCCTGACTATTTCTCAGCCTCTTCCTCCCTGAGCACTCCCTCACTGCTTACCATTACATTCTCTCATTCTCTGGCTTGTTGCCCAGTGTTTGCTCTGTTGTGTGGTGTGTTGGACCTCAGTCTTGTTTTTCACGATCTCCATAAAACCGTGTCTTCCTTTATCAAGAGATAACTGTTTACTAAATACATATGTTTTCATCCCTCTTGATGTAAGTCAGTCTGAGGCTGAACCAAAGATGACAGTAGAGAAAACAGAACAGCATAAATGAATTGCCATAGTTTTTCTCCTTCTGGGTTGCTTCATTTGTGTTCTCTTCTTTTAACTAACTCAGGTATGTGGGCAAAGACTATTCTGCTGCTCAGGAATTAATGGAAGATGAGATGAAGGAATATTACAGTAAGAACCCTAGAGTCACACCAGTCCAGACTGTGCATGTTGGGCAGTTGCTGGCCATAAATGCTGAGGAAGACGCTTGGTTACGGGCACAGGTCATCTCAACAGAAGAGAACAAAATAAAGGCAAGCACTGTTTACTTTGTCATAGCATTATGAAGGCAAAGGCAAACACCTGTTACTTGCCAAATGTAAATGTTGATTCTTTACGTTTTTCAAATGCAAATGCTGTATCCTTTCTAATCGTGTGTAGTTTTCTCTGGAAGTTGAAAAGATAGTAACTGTAAAAGATTATCTCTCTCAGCTTTCAAGTCAGTTGTAGTCATACTATCTTAGAATTTTAGTTAAAGAAAAAAATTCTTCTCCATGGGAGTATCCATAACCCATGATCTAATTAGGAAAAGGCACTTATTTCCATTCCCTGGATATATAATAAATGCTGACCAGAGCTCTGTGGGCCTCTTATCAAGGACAGTACTTTGGAGTGAGGGAAGCAGTATAGACCAGAGGAAATGGCATCTTTGTCTCCCTCTTCTGCAGCCAGGACTTATGTCATTCTTCAGGGCTGCTCCCAGTGTTGCCCTCTCTGTCCTCTTGGAAAGGCCAAGGGGGCTCGTTGGAGGCTCACTTTCATCAGCGGGCTTTCAGGCTTGGCCACGTTCCTGGTGGGCAGCCTCTGGTCCTTTGCCTCTTCTTAACTTTAGCGCAGAGACAGAGAAACACGGTTTCCTTGAGCCCTGTAGTGCCTTTGGGCCTCAGAGCTCCCCATATAACATGCAGAGGAGCTGTATGGTAGCTCCATTTGCCATGGGATAATCTGTACTTGTCTACTATTTTTGATGTGTCATTTCTTTCTGCCTTGGTGGAAACTGTGTTTGTTTTGAATTTGTCATTTGAATAATGAGCCTGGTACTTTACAGAGAATTTGTGAGGAGAAGGTCTTTTCTTTCTTGAGTGTTAAGATGTCTCCCCTTCTCTAAAGGGAAATGGAAGGAACATTTCCATCCATCCTGATGGGAAGGACACCATGTAGGAGGGTGACCTTTGTCTCTCAGTTCTGCCATCCTTATGTTTGTACGGAGGACTCTCAGGCTGTGAGGGGAAACATGTCTAAGATCTTTTGGTTTTCTCTAAGTTTTGCAAGCTGGGAAATATACTTCTGTTTCTACGGCCTCTGTTCCATAATATAAAACCTTATTCCATATGCCACTGTCAGCCCTGCCAATAATCCCACTTGTGTCATTGGGTGCAAATGACCAGTCTCTGAACCTGGCCTTACGTCCCTCAGTTACTGTCCACTGAAGCACAAGCACACATAGAAAGAGATGCTTTCTTTTCCTTACCTAGTTTGTTCAATAGGAGAGGTCCTGACCCTCTCCAGAAGTAAACTCACACTAACCACCCTTTCCCATTCACAGAGATATTTAGGAAATTCCTTAACCAAATCTACAGAGACACAACTTTTAAGTAATTTGATTGACTTTAAAAATCTGAAAATTGGAAAACGGTTTGGCAGATTCTTATAAAGTGAAACACTTAGCATATGACCTCTAGTATTTACACAATAGAAATGAAAACAGGTCCACAAAAAGGCTTGGATGTACATATTTGTAGCAGCTTTATTACTAATATTCCCAAACTGGGAACAGCTCAAATGTTCACCAATAGGTGAATGTATAAACAAGATATATTGTATTCATGTAATGGAATACTATTCAACAATAAAAAAGAATGAACTACTAGTGTGTACAGTCTCATGGATAAATCTCATAGACTTTGTGCTAAGTTAAAGAAGCCAGGCACAAAAGATTAATATTATTAATATATGATTCCATATAAATAATGTCTAAGAACAGATCAAATTCATCTGCAGTGATAGAAATCAGATCAGTGGTTGCCTGGGACAGGAGGTGCAGGGGGGCTAATTGCAAAGGGCAAGAGGGAACTTTTGGGGTTGGTGGAAATGGTCTATATGTTGATTACAGTGGTGATATATGGGTATATATATTGGTCAAAACCCATCAAACTATATACTTTTAATGGGTATCTTTTATTCAGTATAAATTATGCTTGGATAGAGTTTGAAAAATATCTGGAAAAAACTAAGGACCATGTTGACCACTGGACCAGCGACCAGTGCAGGGCTTATGATTAGTGGCTTGGGCACTAGTCCTGACTGTGCCTGTATTTGGTTGTTTGCCTTTGGAGGGTCTACTCCCTCCATTCCTCCAGGCCTCTAATTGATAAAGGGTAACTGTCCGTAAATGTTCCTAGATAAACTTCTATTTGCTGGCCATTTATTTCCCCCTGCTCTTAGTAAGTTCAGCAGAAGCTAAGCTGTTTTAAGGCATAGGGATTTCTTATGAAGAGAAGAACCATACATAAATACTAGAGACATATTAACAGTACAACAATGTCTGTGCTAAATAATGCAAGGATATCTCCCAGTCTGAAGTCTATAGGGCAGTCACTTGGGGGGCTTTCTTTCTTCTATACCTCCAATGTGGGAATTCAAGCTCTGGAGTCAGAAATACCTGAATTTCAGTCTCAGCTCTGCCATTTTTAACTGCATGGCCTTGGGAAAGTCATTTAACTTCTCTGATTCCTTATCTGTAAAATCAGATACTATCATCGTGTTAGTATCTGCCTGATGCACTTTTAGTCACTTTTTCACAGTTCTAGAGCAGGGGACAAGAGAGACAAGTCTTTGGTCTCAAGAAGCTTATATTCCAGTGAGAAAAGATAGATAATAAGCAAGAATGCAATAAATACACAAAACAATTTCAGTGCAATGAAGAAAATAATCAGGGTGCTATGATAGAAAATAACTCTGAAGGAAGGGATAGACAGCGTGATGTGATCTCATCTAGATGCTTCAAAAGTGGTTCTGGTACTGTTGTGGCGGATGGATTGTAGTAGGGCACAGAAGGGGAAAGTAACCCTGGTTAGTTGCACTAGCCAGCTACCTGGTAACCTGAATTGGGTGGCAGTGGAGATGGAGGTAATGGAGGAGATTCAGGCTATATTTGGAGGTAGAGCTCACAGTACACTAATTGGTTGGATGTGAGGGGTAAGCAAAAGGGAAGATTTGAGATGGCTGCTGGGTTTGGGGCTTGAGCAACTGAATGGATATTGGTGCCATTTGTTAAAATTGAGAGGTCGGAGAGAAGAACAAGTATGGAAGGCAATCAAGAATTTTGTAGGACCTATTAGGTTTGAGAATAGCTATCAGATTTCACATGGATGAATTTAGAGCTCAGGGAGTGGTTAGGGCTGGAGATGTATCAGCATATATCTCCACTGGTACCGGAAGGCATCAGCATATGGGTGATATTTGAAGTCATGGGACTAGATAAGATCACCTAGGGAAAGAAAACCCATAGAGGAGAGGAGGGGCCCAGGACCAGGTCCTGAAACACTTCAGCATTTAGAGGTGGGCATAAGAGGAGCAAAGAAGACTGTAAGGATGGCCAAAGAAGAAGAAAACCAAGCAGGTAGTGTCATGGAAGCCAGAAAAGGAAAGTGCCTCATGAAGAAGGGGGTGACCAGCCATGTCATTGCTGCTGAGAGTTATGGGCTGGTTATTAGGAATAAAAAAGGGAGCTTAGTATCTTGTGCAGTCTTAAGACAGCAGTGGCTGTAGCAATCTTGGCCTGACCTTGTTCTCCACATCCCCATGAAGCTGGCTGAGATGATTTCTCCCTTTATTTGAAGAAACCCTAGCTACTTGCTTCTCTTGAACTGACCTTTGCCTGGCAGTGGATACAGATTTCCTCCTTGCTTCCCACCTGTCAGGTCCCTGGTGAGTAGGAGAAACAGGAGCATGTGGTTACCCCCTGAGATTGGTGCCAGTTTGGCCTGACCCAGACGCACACCCAGGGGTGTCTGCTGGGTGTCCCTCAGTAGTGCTGGGAGACCTTTGGCCACTTGATGGTGCCAGAGAACCAGGAATGGACCGGAGCCCATGCCAGGATTATGAGCCTCCTGGTGCTGATCACAGGACATGACAGAGAGAAACTACTCAGCCTTCACAGAGCAAAGGACAGGGTGCAGTGAGAGCCACACTGGGCAATCCATGGGCAAGGGTTTTATAAACGCAGCTGCCATACAAGTACATGGCATCATGCTTAAAAACAAGAAAGAAAAGAAACAAGCTACAAACACTACAGAAACACTTTGAAGCATTTGGGGCAGTTATTCTTTTGTCTGTTCTTGTGCTAAGAATACATCCTGAATTTCCCAAGAATCATGATTTCACAGGATATATCCTGTTGTCAGACCATGTTATCTCCATTTTGGGTCTGGGAAGAGCAGAATCCAAGCTGTAGGTGGTGATGGCTATTAAAGGAAATGAGAGCTGCCTAACTCCTGAGGCCTATGAGAAGGAAGAACAGGTGCTAATCTAGGATTGGAGAAATAGACTTGTGCACTTAAATGGCCAACTGCCAGACATGGGACCCTGCCAACGATCTACACCTAAGACAGTGTTGAGTCAGATGTGCACTCTAGGGGATGATCTTTCTAATATGGGCAGACAGGTCCACAGGTCCACTTACCAGATGGTCAGGGAAAGGAGTTAGTGGTCTCTCTGCCTCTTTTTTTCCTTAGATTCTCTGCTGGGGAGAATTTTTGTTTTGTGTGGTTAGTACTATAATCTAAGTACTAAGAAGCTGACCTGTGAACTTTATTTTCCCGCAGAAAGTGAAAAGGGACCTGCCTCTGCATTTGTTGGTATCTCTTAGCCAAGCCTTTGCCCTGGCTTTTGTTGTTGTTGGGTTTTTTTTTAAAAACCATCATCTGCTTTAATTAGAGAAGCATACTAGGTCTTCAGCACTTTCCCTCAAATTTCTTAGTTATCATTCTAAACCACAGCTTAATGTTTCTAGATTTTATTTTTCTCAAAAAAAAAAAAAAAGTCTTTGTGTCTATATAGTCCTTTCAACTGCAGGTTCTATAAATACTCTTAAAAATAATATCTAAGCTCTTAGTGATCTATGCTAATGGTGAGAAAGAGTCATACAGATTCCTACAGACACAGAACTCTGTCCAGCAGATTTGGATCCTTTCATTGAGTTGGATGAAGGCCTAACCCAGCTTCACATCCCTGAAAAAAACAGGAGTACCTATTTTTTTCAGTGTAGAATTCCATGTTTTCCAGCCATGACATCATAGTTGTCATTGACAGAAGCATCTTGGCGCCTGGAAGCACAATAGCTGAGTGCAGCCATCACAAATGCTGCTTTGGGGATTAGAATCTGATAGATACCACAAGAATGATGCTCTCTCTAGGAACAAATGCTGCTGCCCAGGGAACAGGTAGAAGTGTGTGACTCAAGAAGAATAAGGAATGAAACTAGACCCTTATTTCTTGCCATATGTAAAAATCAAATCATAATGGATTACAGACTTAAATCTAAGACCTGAAACCATGAAACTACTAAAAGAAAACATTGAGGAAATGCTTCAGGACATTGGTCTGGGCAAGGACTTCTTGAGTAATATGCCCAAAGCACGGGCAACCAAAGCAAAATCGGACAAATGGGATCACATCAAGCTAAAAAGCTTCTGCACAGCAAAGGAAAACAATCAACAAAGAGACAGCACACTGAATGGGACAAAATATTTTCAAACTACCCATCTGACAAGGGATTAATAACTAGAATATATAAGGAGCTCAAACAACTCAATAGGGGGGAAAATCAAATAATCCAATTAAAAATGCACAAAGAATCTGAATAGATATTTCTCAAAAGGAGATATACAAATGGCCAACAGATACATGAAAAAGTGCTCAACATCATTAGTCATCAGAGAAATGCAAATCAAAACTATAATGAGATATCATCTCACCCCAGTTAAAATGGCTTTTATCAGAAAGACAGGCAGTAACAAATGCAGGCAAGGATATGGAGAAAGGGGAATGCTCCTACGCTGTTGGTGGGAATGTAAATTAGTACAACCAATGTAGAAAACTATATGGAGTTTCCTCAAAAAACTGAAAATAGAACTACCATGTGAACTACCATGTGACCCAGCAATCCCACTGATGAGTATATATCCAAAGAATGGGAATTCAGTATATTGAAAAGATATCTGCCTTCCCATGTTTATTGCAGCACTATTCACAATAGCCAAGATATGGAATCATCTTAAGTGTCCATTAATGAATTACTAGATAAAGAAATTGTGGTACCTATGGAATATTCCTGCCATTTGCAACAACATGGATGGAACTGGAGAACATTATGTTAAGTGAAATAAGCCAGGCACAGAAAGACAAACCTCTCAGTCATATGTGGGAGCTAAATATCAAAAACAATTGATCTCATGGAAACAAAGGTAGAATAATGGTGTCCAGAGGCTGGGAAGGGTAGCAGGGAGGGGAGGATAAAGTGGGGATGGTTAATGGGTGCAAAAATATAGTTAGATAGAATGAACAATGTTTGATAGTACAACAAAGTGACTATAATCCAACAATAAGTTAGGGTATAGTTTAAAATAACTAAAAGAGTGGAATTGGAATGTTCCTAACACAAGGAAATGTTAACTGCCTGAGGTAATGGATACCCCAATTACCATGTTTGGATTAATTCACATTATATGCCTGTATCAAAGCATCACACGTACTCTATAAAGATACACAACTATTATGTACCCATAATAATTAAAATTAAATTAAAAAAAAAAGAGAGAGTGATACAGGCATTATGCTATTAGTGAAAGTGGGGGAAGGGGCTGGCAGAGTTGGCAGAACCAGATAGATGTGCCACTGAGAGATTGGCAGCAGCAAGGCAACAGGGCTGAGCTGTCTCACAAAGGGGCGAGGTAGGGGCCTGGGGCCTGACCAGGAGCCCTGGTTTCCTTGGTCTCAGCCCCAGCCTTTCTCATCTGGGGTAAGTCAGGGGAAATCTCCCCTGACATTTTCCAGGCACCTGTGACACCACTGACACTACTTAACTTGCTGATTATGGAATAAAATGGAGCCAATTAAATGTATATCAAATGATTTTTTTTAAGTGAGGAAGGAGAACTTTGAGCCTAAACATTGTTGGGTTTTTTTTATCGTTAGGTATGCTATGTTGACTATGGTTTTAGTGAAAGTGTTGAGAAGAGCAAAGCATACAAATTGAACCCGAAGTTTTGTTCACTCTCGTTCCAAGCCACAAAATGTAAGCTTGCAGGTAAGAGGAATTTCTTATAAACTCTCTCCATTTGGATAGGTTATTACCACCATACTCTTGGATGCTTAAGTCCTAAAATGGACTGGGTATCTCAAGGTGTTACAATGTGTTATTTCTTGAAAGATTTAAATAAATTTGTATTTAACATGCTCTTTGTAAGATGTGATCATTATAAGAATGTTTCAATGTTTTTATTATATTTTATGTTGTATATATAAAAATATATTTATTATAATTTATTATAAAAATGTCTGTTGGTCATCTTAAAGGGTTTTTTCTTGTTCTAACTTGCCCTAGTAACAGTCGATGGCCCTGGATCATGGGATTTGATCAGTCCCGTTGTTCGAGGTGTTGTGAGGTGACCCTCAGCCCTCTCCCACTGAGATGGACTGTGGTGGTGCTTGCGCCTGACACCCTCCCGTGCCCAAGCATGAGTTTGGCTATAGGTCATGTGTAGTATCTTGTATAGTCCATATATTACTATTCTTTTCTTTCCTCCTCAGGGAAGCATAGAGGAATGCACATGTAGAGAGTGACATTATAGGGATAAACTTAAAGTGTAGAGGACACAGTGGTCATATGACGTTCATGATGAGGAAAAGGCATTGAAATATGCCTCATGCCATGGGAGCTCGAGCCAAATGCAGAAAAGGATCATAACTCTTTCATGAAAACTAGTCTTCTGAAGAAATAAACTCCTCCTTCCCAGTCAGGATGAGTCCTTATGTCACAAGAGCTGAATTTGACTCTATCTGTGAGATAAACCTGAAGAAATTTTAAAAGCCTAGTAGGAACCTGTGGGTGTTGGTTTTGGAAAGAGCATGACAAGAGTTAGTATGCTGAAATGAAGGCTTTGAGAAAAGCTACAAAGTTATGTGTCTGGAGAACAGAACAAGAGGAGAGTAGTTCAGGAGGAGTCTAAATTTTAGCTGATGGGTTTAAAGGGGAAAAATATAGAAATTGGCACTTTGGCACCACTGGGGGAAATAATGAGCTAGCTTTCATTAGTTCGCTAGATTAACTTAGAATTGTCAGATATATGATATATGGAATTACAATTTTCAAATAATGTAAAGAATAATTGGACTACAACAAAATTCACCTAATACTTGTATTATGTTAAAACATTAATCTTTCTTTGATAAATCAGAAGGTTCTTTGGTATTCTTAGGGTCATAATAGTATAATTTAAAAAGAAACAAACAATAGTGCTTGTGTAAATTTCCAAGTATGTATGTTCATTTTATAAGAAAAAGAATTATATATATTTAATTAGAAAATGAAAAAAATCAAGGGTAGAATTTGAGGAAGAACATTACAGATTCATGACTGGCAGACAGGATAGCTTCTTATGTGTATTAGTCTTTTTGTTTGAAATATACATGTGTATATAAAGTGAAAGCTGTTTCTCCTAAGGTAGAAATTCTTATTGATCATCAGTTTTTCTTCTTTTTTTAAGATTGCCTGCTTTAGTATATCATCCAAAAGGGCATTCACATTATATTTTTTAAAACCTAAAGAGTAAGGCATAAAAGATTATAAAATAAAGCTTTCATATAAAATTTAACAATTTTGTGTTAGATTCATAATTTTAATAAGTGGTCAAGACAGATACAATCTATCCATCCTAAAATTATTTTGCTAATTAAGTAGAAATTGAAATATTCAATATTTTTCAGGATTGGAAGTTCTAAGCGATGATCCTGATTTAGTGAAGGTGGTTGAATCTTTAACTTGTGGAAAGATCTTTGCAGTGGAAATACTTGACAAAGCTGATACTCCACTTGTTGTTCTGTACGATACATCAGGAGATGATGATGTCAATATCAATGCCACCTGCTTGAAGGCCATATGTGACAAGTCACTAGAGGTTCACCTGCAGGTACCACTGCGATCGCCATTCTCATCTGTTACACATATTGTATGAAAGAAAATCATCAGAAAAGAATGTTATAAATTTTAGGCTAACAAATGAGAGAGACAGATTACTTATATATTAAGGGAAAAAAGGAGAGGGGGAGCTGGAAGGGGGAAAAATGCCAAAAAATTAACAGTAATTATTTCTTAAGAATTGGATTTTTTATTTTCCAGTTTCTACAACAAACATATATTGATTTTATATGAAATTATTTTTTCTTTTATATATAAATATATATTTTTCATTCCAGAGAGAGGAACTGGTCAGTTTCCACAGGTAGAGAAAGCCCTGAAATTATTCTATAAAGATAATAAGGGAAGATAATATAAAAAAGGGAAAATCAGGTCCATGAAGATGTTTATTATTAGTTTTAGCATTTTTAAAATGTGAAGAACATAAATGCCCCAAAATAAGGAAACCTTAAATGATAGAACATTCACTCTAGAGAATAGGATGAAATGTTTAAGATGATCATTTTAAAGACTTTGTAAAAACAATGGGAAAAATTTTGTTTTAGTAAGTAGAACAACTGCAAATTGTCTTTATATTATGATTTGACTAAAAATGGCTAAAATTAAATATTTACTTTATTATAGTATTTAAAAATTACAAAATTTTATGTGGCCTGTGGACATAGGTTAGAAAGTAGACTGATAAACCAGTTGATTTTGTGAGAGTTTTTTATTTTCACTTTTTTTAATGTTGCAAAAACATGGTTTATGTAATAATTATTTTTCTAAATAAATGGGGACAAAATTAATGTTAAGGATATTCTTAGCTTTTCAGACAATGGAATGTGATAATGTATGCAGAATGTCTATTTTGTGCCCAACACAAATAATACTAGATATTCCTTTTGAAAAGAAAGGAATCCAAATTAGTTTTTTACAGTTAAGTTACAAATTTCATTTCATCCTATCTGTCCTCTAACTTAGAAGATTTTAAAATGCAAAAACTTTTAATGGGATATTTAGGTAGATACCCCTTAGGTAGGTGAGAGCTGCATTCTGTTCTCAACCATTCTTGGGGTGTCTTTTGTCTATTCTAGGTTGACGCTATGTACACAAATGTCAAAGTGACTAATATTTGCTCTGACGGGACACTTTACTGCCAGGTGCCTTGTAAGGGTCTAAACAAGCTCAGTGACCTTCTACATAAGATAGAAGACTACTTCCATTGTAAGGTATGGTGGAATATCATCCACATCTAAAATTAGCCCTAAAATTACAAACAAGAGTGGTTCACTAAATTATATAAGTATGAATAATTTTTTAATAGTTTGAGGTAGAATCTCTAGAATAGTAAGTAAGAGCACCAGACTTCAGAGCTTTAAAAGAATGTAATACCATTTCTGCAGTGTAAAATGAAGGAATAATCGTGTGTATCTATAGGATTGTCATGAGGACTAATTGCAATACTGCTTAGCTCAGAGCCTAGCATATAGTAAGTGCTCAAACAATTGGTAGATTTGTTATTTATAACAGGTAGTTGACAATCCCATGATGCAGTTGCCTGTGCTTCTGTCTGCTAGAGCCAGCTGGCTCATCTGCCTCAGGCAACAGAGAAACCTTGGAATTTAGGAGACTAATACTTGCTTTCTTAATTCTGCCCTTATCTTCCTTCTCAGGCATCAGTCCCCAAGCTCTTTATGGTCCCTGAGAACCTGCTGCCTGGTAAATGTGGTTCTGCAGTTTAAATTGTATTAATAAGCACTTTACACTTTAATCCTAGTATTTTTTTTTTCTGAATCAAGATCTGTAGAGGTTTTGTTTTAAGTTTCTGAAGTGGTTTGCTTATGTCCATTAGGACATTATATTCATAATCCAGAAAATGCTGTGGTTTCCAAGTTACTAAACCCTACTGCCTCTTAAACCCTGGCCCCCTCACCCCTGGAAGTGAATCCTTCTCTCTACCCTACAGAGCACATCGGGTACCTCAGGGCACTCAGATTCAGCTTCACATTGTAGCCATTTGCCTTACTAGAGTATAGGCTTATGATGCCTTAACAATTTTCTACATCCCTCACAGTACCTAATCTAGTGTTTTACATAGAATGGGTATTCCAAAATATTTGCTGAATCAGGTTAAACCTGCATTCAGACTACAGTCTGGAATTGAGGCATTAGATATATAGCTTTATCTTTTTTGTGTTTCAGATGTCATCCATATTTGTGTGTGTGTATATATCTCAAGGTCATTACTGAAGTTGAATTTGCTAGTCTGTCTCGGAGAAATCTGAGACACCTAAAGAGGCCGACTCCAGTGACTCATTTGTATGGATGTTCTCATAAACTGTATTGGTGAAAAAAGCACTCTTGATATTTTCTAGTTCCCTGGTAACCCAAGTGGAGACATTGCCTTTGGGGAGAGTAGAAACATTCACCCTGTACAGAAACAGACCATGAATAGGTCCCCAACATCAAGCTACAGCAGAAGAGGAAGATGAAGAGACCTACAGCTGTGACTTGCTGGGGTTTCACTGGCACTGATATACATATTTGTATTGATAACATTTGTTTTGGAATTAAAATCTTCCTATCTTTGAATCTGAATGTTAAAAGATGTTAATAGGCCTTACTGACTGCTAACCCAGCCTCCTCACTTTTCAACCATGCTGCTCTCCTGCTTTTTTGGCAGATTCAACACCTCTCTTCACGTGTAACTTGTGGAGCCAGGGCCTAAATGAATCACACTGACCTCTATGCTAACATTTTAGACATTTTAATAGTGCTGTTGTATGAGCCATGTACACGTAGAGAGAGTAAATCATTGACGTCAACAAATGCATGAGTAACAAGGCAGAAGTTTTATAACCCTGGTACATTTGCTGCATCAGTGCAGTGCACTCCTTGGAGGGAAAGGGCTCATGGAAGTCTGATTACCTGTGGGTATGACAGTCTGCCTATGCCACAGCAATCTGTTTTTCTAATGGTGTAGCAATATGCTCTTTGGTAAGAGTAATAAAAATACCGTGTTTTTGTTTTGTAGCACATGACCTCTGAGTACTTCGTTTCATTACCCTTCTGTGGGAAAATCTGCCTCTTCCACTGCAAAGGAAATTGGTTACGAGTAGAGGTAAAATCAGTCACTTGACTTTTTTTTATCTTTTGTGAAATATTTCAAGTAAACAGGATTTTTATAAAATGGAATAAGCACTCATGGACTTATCACCTGAGTATGAAGTAAAACATGACTAATATTGTTGAAGCTCCCCATTTACATCCCTTCTTCTCCCCCTACACTGAGGGTGAATTTGGTGTTTCTCATTCTTGTTTATTATTTGTTTATAGTCTTACCATTATTTATAACTATTCACACATACTTTTACTATATACTTTTAATATTTAGATAGTAGGATGTAGAAATGAATAGGTATATAGAA